TTAATGAATTTAAATGATGTTCATGATTAAAATATTGAATCAGCGAAACTTTTGACTTGTTGAGTGGTTAAACGTTTATTGTCATCAATAAGTCTTACTAATTTGAAGGTTAATTTGACAAGGGTGTGGGTGTGGGTTGTGCGTGTGAGATTTGGGTGTGTTCACTTGCCATCATAAAAATCACACCCACACTCACATCCACACCGATACCCACACCCGCACCCAAACCACACCCACATCCACACCCACACCCACACCGACACCCACACCCACATCACACCCACACCCACACAATCACACCCACCCACAACCACACCCACGCCCACGCCCACACCCCATTAATTCAGATCCACACCCACATCCTGAAGTCTGAAGGGCTGGCAGCTAATCAAAATGTGTAATACTCAAGGGGGAAGGAGTGAAAATGCGGTACTTCCTCGTACTTCCTGTACTTCCAGACTATACCATAACTGTGCATCAGATCTTTTTAGCTATTTCAAGTCTACTATCGACCTGTCTTGCGATATATTAGCCGGAGCCCAGCCTACGTAAGTCTATTTGACAGAAAAGCCCAAATACTTCATGATACTTCCAAATTGCAAGTATCATGAAGTATTTGGGCTTTAGGATGGAGTTGACTTAAGTACGGTGGACTCCAACTAATACACCGTAGCACAGATCAATAGTAGGCTTGAAATTGCTAAAGAGATCTGATGCATAGTTACGACATAGTTCGGAAGTACGAGGAAGTACCGCATTTTCGCTCCTTCCTCCTTGGTAATACTGCATTATGACCTGGTGTTGTAGAAATGATTGGTATTGACAAGCCTGCATTTGATACTAGCAACCAAGGCTTAGAATGGTAATAATGTTAAATTAAGAAAAATGAAATACGAAAATGAATAATAACGAGTAAATTGAAGCAATGTCAACAAAAGCTAGGAGGCCTGAGAAGAAAAAGAAAAAAAATTCTGTTTTTTTTATTGCTGTCAACAGCAGTCCTTTTCATGGGAGTACACAGTTGATAAATATTCAAAAAAAGAACGAAAAAGATGAAGGTAGGAAGAACAACAAAATAACAAAGGTGGAGTGTTTCTATGCTTCAAGGTAACAAAAAGATCATTTGATGAATAGCCAACCAGCCTCACATACATAACATTTAATGAAGTTGGAAATTGCAGTCACTGAAACATAATTGATACGCGAAGCTTTGATTGTTTCGTTCAGGCGAGTATCATATCACGATGATTCTTAAATTCAAAACAAGTGCTCTTAATGTCATAAATATTGGAGACATATAACGATAGCTTTTATTACAATCTATTGCGGTGGACATGAAATCGATAATCCGAATGAACTTTCGTTTATCTGATCAACTGATGACTTTTTTTCAGGCAGCGACCTATCAAATTTACTTTTCTGTATCCATCGCACACACTTTCATTTTATTATTCTTCATTCTAGAACTTCGCGTATGGATGATGTGGGTGTGGATCTGACATTGGAAACATGATTCAGACATCCACGCCCGTACCATCTACAGTCACCCACCCATACCCAACCACACTACCAACACCTAAGTCTACAGCAACATATGCATTCGCTTCGACACCCACACATCCACACCCACATCCTCAAGCCATACCTACGCCCGCAACCACATGCACACATAGCCGACACCTATAGACAACGAGTAAATGATGTATAAGTAGTTTGATGGAGTCGATGATTTTTGTCTTGTCTCACAGTCTGAATTTGGTAACATCACTATTCTATCATTTGTGCGAAAATAAGTAATATATCTCAAAAATATATTTTCTCTTGCATCTGCTGCTATAATGTTAGAAAAGTCTCAATAGGTTTGTTGCCCAAGAAAATGATGATGCAATTTATGAATTGCATTCCGAATGAAATGAAATAACTAGGTGTCCCAAAAAAAGTAAATCTAGTATACAATTTGGTCAATGACTTTCTTAACGTTCATCGATCAAATGAAAGCTGAATATCGAAAGATACTTCGTTACATTCTTTATAATTTTGTATAGAACGGAGTGTCCGGCGTGGATGGGTACAGTTTAGATGTGGGACGTGCGTGTTTGGCTGTGGATCTAGGTGTTAGTAGGAGATACATTAGAAGATTCATCCTCACTGAAACACCCATACCCATCAACAAGGAATAGTTTGATATATTAAATAGCGTATGGTGAAATAGTGTCATTTCATGGCAAAATTTGAAAATATGAAGGAAATAGAGCTCGTTTTATTCTAGATTTAGAAAACTGAAATGGCTGATAGCACTATAAAAAACAAAAATACTAATTTTCGCTTTGCTGATGTTGGTACATTACCAAAACACATGTTGCCACCGATAGAAGGTTATCAGAAAATGCCACTGGTGACGCTTGAGGAAGCTGTAGAACCTCTTGTCCAAATCGTACCAAACGTCAAGCGCAGTGTATATATAGTCAAACAGAACTGTCAAAATCCAGAAGATGGTTTAACAACTGACGAATCGGCTTCAATTATGCTTTACACTTTTGAATCGATGCCAAATGAACACTCTCTATACGCTAAGCTTAACACAGCTCTACGCTCCGATCAAAGACAAATTTTAAATCCATGGTTTTTGTACCTTCGACTTATACTGACAGCGCTTTCTCGTCTTCCGTCAAAGCGTCGTTCGGTTTTTCGAGGAGTTAAGAAAAACTTGTCGAGTGAATATAAAGAAGGTATGCATGTTATTTGGTGGGAATTTTCCTCGTGTACTTCATCGATCGAAATGTTAGAAAATGAGCAACTATTCGGTAGGACTGGGAGCAGAACTTTATTTCAAATACAGTGCAAAACAGCAAAAGACATTACAAAACATTCATTGATGTCCAGTGAAGATGAAATACTTTTATTACCTGCCACACAATTTCAAGTCGAAGCCTATCTCGATTCTGGCAATGGGCTTCATATTGTAGGACTCACCGAGCTGGACCCAATGTTCAGTCTTCTTGAACCAGTTCTATCGCCAATCCAAGCGACTCAACCCTTGGCAAAATGTTCAATGACGTCTCAGGGTCAGTAATATGTATCATTCAGTTTGAGATAGGCAAGTAGATATGTGAATTGTGTGATGAAAGCATGTGAGATTGCTCAGAGATATATTTTATAATAAAATTTGTTTCTGAACTCGTATCGACGTATTTCACAATGAAATACTCAACTTTAACACACTTTCTCAATGTGCTGTCTTGAGAAATACTCCCTGTCACCTAAAGGATATTGTAAAATAAGACCATAAATTAGTCATTCCTTTAGTTTTGACTTTGAAAAGGCTAGAATGATCGAGCATAAAATTCTTCACATAGTTGTACACTAGTTGTTGTTTTTACTGAACGCAACAAACACTTCTAAGATGTAGTGCGAGTGGGAAGTGTTTTTGTAGGTGTCAGTATGAATTTCATTATTACTCACAACTGTAACCCAAGTCACTCACACACACACATATGAGGAGTTAACATAAAGAATTATGTCGATTTATGGATATTCGAAAGTTCTTAATGAGTTGTTTCTATAGAAAACTTAGCTTATAGAAGCCTTAGGGTTCGGTCAAGCACAATATCATCGAGATACTGGAAAGTGATTTTTGAACTGATCTATATTAATGAAGAACGAGAGAAAAAATATAAATGATAGATCAAAAAATATCCTCTTGAAATTCAATTTTCAAATGACCTCTAAGGAGCCCAAGAATTATTTGAAAGCGTCAAAGGGCTAATGTCACTTATGAGTATGATGATCGTAGCGTCAAAATTATCGTATGATGATGCATCGAGTGAGAATGAAAAATATCTCAAAATCAGATATAAAGTTTGAGAGGAACCGTTATTTCGTTGTGCTGAATTTCGACATTTGTAATAGTTATACAATTGATCGAAAATCAGTCCCAGTTACAATAGAATGCCCAATAATCATTTCATAAAATTTGAACGCTCATGGTGCACTGTAGCGTATTAATTGGAGAACAAGCGATGGCAAATGTTAATTTCAGCTTTTTCGCAATGATTGTTAAGAAATTTTCCGTTTTAAAATATGGAAGAATCTGGAGAACAGGCTTGAATGCAAATAAAACTGGAAAATTAGTCACTAATTTCTAACCAGCACCATTTATTCGACGAAAAGAATCTTTGAGGAACAGTAGTCTTATAACCCGTGGCCATTGAGAGAAAGCAGATTGCATATTCATCGCATGCAGTAATATTTATGTACCGAAACTAGATTCCCAACTCATTCTTATCGTATAATGACGTACCAATCATATTCGGAGAATTGCGATCTGCCGCTCTCTTTTCTTATTGTAATATCTAAACGATTACGATATAAAACACGGTCGAGTA